CCTACTAGTTAACTTGTTGACATTTTGGGGCCCACTAGTTAACTAGTGAGCATATCTGCACTTTACAAGTTAACTAGTGATGCTTTTTTGCACCTTACTAGTTAACTAGTGGGCGCTTTAGGGCGCACTAGTTAACTAGTGAGCAAATCTGCACCTCACTAGTTAACTAGTGAGCATATCCGCACCTTACTAGTTAACTTGTGGGCGATTTGGGGCCCACTAGTGAACTAGTGACACTTATTTTGCACCTCACTAGTTAACTAGTGGACATTTGTACCCTCTCTAGTTAACTAGTGAGCAGTTCTGCCTTCACAAGTTTACATGTAAGTGTCACACTGAAGCCACTACTAGTTCACTAGCTGAGGTTCCTCTGGCCAGCATGTCAACTTGTGTGCCGCATGCAAATGTTTGGGGTGGGATTTTACGAAATTCCGCACTGTGATTGGTTGTCATATTTTATTTTGACACAGGGAGCCAATAGAGAGTCTTAATTTGAGAAATTCTCCGCCTCCTAATTAGAATTCTGCGCAACTAGCTAGCTAGTGTGAATGTAGACTTGAACTAGTTTACTAGTATACATTTATGTCCTCACTAGTTAACTAGTTTGGACAATGGATGCATCAACTAGGTAACTAGTGAGCCTGCTGCCATCAACTAGCTAGCTAGTGAGCCATTAATGGTTCACTAGTTAACTAGTGGCACTGACCTACTCCAACTAGTTAACTAGTTAGGAGTTAAGCCTTCACTAGTTAACTAGTGTGCACATTTTGGCCATCAATAGTTAACTAGTGAGACACAAAAAACCTTCAACTAGCTGACTGGTATGCACTTTGGCCTTTACTACTTAACTAGTGAGCCATTTATGTGACAACTAGTTAACTAGTGAAGCCAAAATGTGTTCACTAGTTAACTAGTGCACATTTATGTCTACCACAAGTTAACTAGTGTGCACATTTTGGCCATCACTAGTTAACTAGTGAGACACAAAAACCTTCAACTAGCTGACTGGTATGCATTTTGGTCTTTACTAGTTAACTAGTGAGCCATTTATGTGTCAACTAGTTAACTAGTGAAGCCAAAATATGTTCACTAGTTAACTAGTGCGCATTTATGTCTACCACAAGTTAACTAGTGTGCACATTTTGACCCTCACTAGTTAACTAGTGAGACAAATACCTTCAAGTAGCTGACTGCTATGCATTTCTGCTTTTACTAGTTAACTAGTGAGCAGTTTTTGTGTCAACTAGTTAACTACTGAAGCCTAAATGTGTTCACTAGTTAACTAGTGCGCATTTCTGCTGTCACTAGTTAACTAGTGGGCACATTTTCACCCTCGATATTTAACTAGTTGACACAAACATGTCTAACTAGTTAACTAGTGGACAGAAATGGCTTACATGTTCATGACAATTCTGGCTGATATCCTGATATCAGAATAAATGCTCATTTGGCTTGCCATACACACATACTTAAAAAGTATTTGACTGTATTACTTTCAAAGCTACTGTTAGGTAACTACAGACTTGTTATATTTTACAAGGTAAGCAAAAATAAATGTTGTCTTTTGGTCAAAAGATTGTGTCTGTTTAGTTTTAGAATCACTTTATTTTACCTTGTAAATTTGCATTTTTTTAGCATGACCAGTTTTAAAGTCAAATAAAAATGTCCCATAGCTTTAAAGGGACTTTACGGAGTTTTGAATTTTTATGCTCGCGATTGCCCCCTCAGGCCAAAAGCATAACGGCAGCTTCAATAGTAGGCTCGTGCACGAGGCGCGCATGCTGTACGTGCACACTCCTTAACGAAAATAACAGCTGAGACAGTCCCGTGTGTGTGTGTGTGTGTGTGTGTGTGTGTGTGTGTGTGTGTGTGTGTGTGTGTGTGTGTGTGTGTGTGTGTGTGTGTGTGTGTGTGTGTGTGTGTGTGTGTGTGTGGCCCGGAGGACAGAGGACAGGAGAACGTGCAGCTAATTAATTAAATAACCTGGTTCTGTACCTTTCTCCTCAGCACAGCTCACAAAGGTTTATGATGGGTCAGTCCTCCTGCATGCTCAGATCATTCCCTTCCCTTGCTTAAAAATTGTTCCAAAATGAAAGTTGAACCCACATCTTTTTTATCTGTGAATTCAATGCCGTTCGGCTAGTCTAAAATAAAAATTTGGGCATCTTACTGTAAAAAAATATACCATTAATGTAAAAAATAAACTCTAAATAAACCATGTTCACATCTAGAATCGAACCCAGGTCTCCCGCATGAGAGTCCGATGTCTTACTAGGTGAGCTAAAGCGCCAGTAATGTCTTTTGTATCTGTAATATTTATATCCTTGATGACAGCTGAAACAACGTTCAAAGAACGGTTCGGAGTGAAAATGGCTATTTTGTTGCTAATTTGCAGGAAATATCTAGAAGAAAGTAGCTAAGGGTCCTCAGAAATGTAGCTAGGTTCATCACTAGGCGTTAGGAACAGCGACAAAGTCGCTGAGTTGGCACAACCTCACTCTCTGCTGCTAAAGCTACTGATAGCAAATGCTACGGGCTATGCCTGAGCGTGAACGCGCATGAAGCAGCCTGCTTGACCCGAGCATCTTTCTTTTTCTGTGATTTTACAGAAAAACAGGCAATCACAGTAAAAATGCCAGGGCTCATTCTACAGGACCAGGGCATTGCAGGAGAATGTATGAAGAAGAAATTTATTATTTCTATACATGTTTTGGCTGTCAAACTTCCACAATGCCCCTTTAACTAAATTGTACAACAAAGTAGTTAATCCTAGAACTGACACTCTTTGTTAACATTGATTGTGAATCGATTTAAATCGAGAATTGATTGCAAAGCGAATCGGCACACCGAGAATCGGAATCGAATCAAATCGTGAGTTGCTTTAAGATTCACATCCCTACAGGAAACCCTCTGAGCGTCTGCCTAACATATGGAACTTTGTTGGATCCCTGTTAGACGGCCAAATACCATCCCATAATAAAGCCCAACACTGGGAAGACTGCCTTGCACTGCCCATTTGGTCGGGATGTGAATATTAAAACAGACTCTTACTTATTGCCTGTTAATTGCGATGGCTCTATGATGCTTCATGAAGCTAGAGGCGAGAAAGGTTTATGATGGGTCAGTGGAGGTAACGTGATCATGCTGCACATGTGCACATCATTCCCTTTCCTAACGCCCGGAGCGCAGGCCAGGCAAGATCAACGACACAGTTGTACAGAAAGTAGCTAAGGGTTATCAGAGACATTGCTCAGCGCTTTTGAGGAATTAGAAATAGCAACAACTCTGCAGCGCAAGAGTAAACCGCCATGGAGGAGCAAACATTTATCTTTCATTATCGTTTTAAACTCAGGTCGTTATTGAGATTCAAATCAATGAATCAAGCGGCTCTACAGAGCAGGTCAGAGACGGCCTTTGGTACAAGACACCCTGATAGGCCTTTACTGAACAACACCACCTTAGTGCATCATCTGATTGTTAAAAGGCTCTTTAGAAATAAAGTTTGATGATGAACAACACAGAAAAGGTTGTTCAGAATTCTGGAACTCCGTTAATGTTTGTAAGTGGAGATGAGTGGTTGATGTGATCAGGTGGTGCAGAACACAATCTGAGAGCAGAGAAGAACCACTTCAAGCAGCATCAGCTCAAGAATAGGCATACCCTGGAGAACAGTGCAGGGGAACACTATCTCTCACCCTGCTCAAGCTGAATGTGTTGCCCTACATAAGCTCAGCTGCAAGGCTCATATACCGCTCAACTCGGGGAGGAAAAAGGAGGCAAACAGAGGCGTCGGCAAATGTTCAGATTGACACATTTATTAAAGTTAAAAGTTAAAGTTAAAGTCCCATTAGTTGTCACACACACAGGTGTGTGTGCGAAATTTGTTCTCCGCATTTGACCCATCCCCTGGGGGAGCGGTGAGCTGCAGACACAGCCACGCTCGGGAACTATTTGATGGTTTAACCCCCCAATCCAACCCCTTAATGCCGAGTGTCAAGTAGGGAGGCATTGGGTCCCATTTTTTTCAAAGTCTTTGGTATGACCCGACCAGGAATCGAACCTGTGATCTCCCAGTCTCAGGGCGGACACTATTAGGTGCCAATATGAATATTAACAGCAGGTTCAACCAGGGCATGAGCTCACCTGGCTGGGAAAGTGTCATTCGTCCAGTCTAGGTGGTTATTTGCTCCTCAGACACGGTTTTCCAGCCAAATGAGTCCCCTAACCTGATTGGTTCATAATCCTGAGACTACAATTAGGCTGCTCAATAAAACAGAGCTTCTTTATTCTGCACATGGGCACGCTTCTCTGTGGAAAGCTGGACCAGATCAGTCATCTGACGAATAAAGCTACTCTCTGCTGATAAAGGCAGACCTCTCACCCTACTGCTGCCAGACAGGAAGTTGTTCCATCTTTCCTTTACAAGCAGAGTTCCCTCCAAAGGAATGAAGCTAATACACCGACGCCTGCTGCTGCGCACGGTCCACCAAGACCCTTTCAACAGGCAAATGTCCCAAACTCTTAACGTTCGGGGGGTTGTTCGAGTCAAACATGCTGTGCTTACTCTGTTGTTGAGAAGGAAAGAAGGGAGGATACCGCTGGCCAAACTGATCACTACAGTTCAAGGGTCAAGTCTAACAGGAATCACCATCTTTATTACTACTCAGCCAAAACACAGATGAGGAAACGACTTGTCGTTTTGGAATGACAGGAAAATGTCTGAGCCCATTTTAGATTATAGCTGTTAGCTCATAGCTCTTTCTGAGCCATTTCTCCAAACACAGGCCATTCAGGAAGTATTTCTAAAAAATAACCTGAGAAAAGATTTTAACACTCTTCAGGAGAAACGTGGCGGTGGAAACCCATTTCAGCTAAATGCTGTGCTTTAATTCATATGGAGAAGTTCTGGTTCAAAAGTAGCCACACACACACACACACACACACACACACACACACACACACACACACCATTATAACTTTCTCCACCATCCTTGGCTCACCTCATCCTCCAGCAGAGGAGGAAGATGTTCCGGATCATAAAAACCATCGGGCTCTTCATCCTTGCGCAGGTACGCGTCCGCAGCTCCACCACCGGAAGTCTCCATTGCACCAACTTTGATCTCCTCAAACGAAGCAGTGGACTTCAGCGCAGAAAGCGGGACTTCTATGGCTGAGCTCTCAAACACAGCTCTCCGGTGGGGGAACCTGCCTGGGAATGCTGCGGGCTGTCAGCCAAGCGTGGATGCGGGACAGAACGCAGCAATGCATCCGAAGCGAATCCCGCAGCGTGTTCCAGCTGATTGGGCTGGAGACATCACGAGGCTCCGCTGGCAGCAGGACCTTCCAGGAGATTAGTTACAGTTGGCTCCACGCCTCCGCTGGCAGCGGCCAATGACTCATGATCAGCTGTCAGGGTCTGGCTGTTGTCCAGCTCTTATGTCAGCCTGAAGCTGGAGGTGTTCATCACCACCACCCAGAGCCAGAGCCCTGCTGCGGTTAGCTGGGACGCACTGGGACTGATGTGACCCTGTGGTCTAATGTGGGTACTGCAGCCCGCTTTTCTAAGCAGCTGCCTATCTCCAAAGTCAATGGGCAATCAGGCGGGGTTCACCCTGGACAGAGAGCCAGTCCATCACAGCCCACTAAAGAAGTTACTAATCATCTTGAGGTCCAGTTCATAAAATATACAATATCAACATCACCATTACATCTGTGGCTTTATACAATTAAACAAATCACACATTATTCATACAGATCCCGTTGTATAACCTTATGGGTTCTAAACAGTTAGGTGGAACCACTGCTTTAACAACATTAATGATTTTTTAAAGAACGCGCATCCTTTCATTCTCTGATATGTTGGGAACTATAGTCCAGTCCTGAGATGCTCTACAGACGGCCGGTTTGGCTGTTTTACATTATTTCAGTATCACATGCATGCCTAGTACCAACACTAGTACAGTGGGTGTGTCTCTGGTCAGAGTAAATAAACTTTTCAAAAAGGATTCTGGTAGAATTTTTGAATAAATATAAGTTAATTAGAATAAATGATAATAATAAATTACCCACACTTGTACAACCCTTTTCAGAGTCAGCAGACTCCAAAGTGTTTTACACTACAGTGTATCATTCACCCATACACACACTGATGGTGATGGGCTACTGTACATCAGTTATTCTGCAGTGCAGCTATTATTAGAGGCCTTGGTGCACTTCAGCAACACCAGGAGCAAACAAACAGCCTTGTTCTAGACAAGCTGTGTCGTAATAAGTCAGCCTTGTTACTGCAGATCGTATGATAGAACAACATTCTGTCAAGACTCCCAATCCTTCAGCCTTCATGCTGCACACCTGGTCCCCTCATCAAGCTCCTGACAAGCCCTGTTTCCCTGGCAACCACAATCAGCTTTATCCACTTCACCTGCTCCTGACTCCTCAGCTCATCACACACACCTGCTTCCCCTGCTACATAAGAACCAGCCATCCAGCCATTCACTGCCAGATTATTGAACACCATTTGCTAGTAAATCTTCCAGCCATTCTCCCTGCCTGCCTGATCCCAGCCTCCGGACCTCGTTTTCTCGCCTGACCCCTGCCTTGTACTCTGCCTGCCATCACGACCCTAGCCTGTCCTCTACCTCGTCTCCAGCCTGTTCCCTGTACCTGCTTGTTCGATCTGGTTTTGACCCTCGCCTCCTCTCCAACTCTATCTCCTGCCTCGCCCTCTATGGTAACGCCATATCTAATAAAGATTTTTAAGGAACTTTACTGTGTTTGGCGTCATTACGGGTCTTCTGAGTTCTATTCGTGACACATTCAGTATGAGACAACACCACCACGTCCAGAACAGGAGTAATAAAAGAGGATTACAGTATTATATATATTATAATGCTGTAATAATATTATCTACATGATATGACCATGATGACCCACCTTAGGACTCTACTGATGAACTTGCTCTAGTGCAGCGCTATTTGTTCTGAGTATAAGCTGAGGGTTGCTGTGCAGATGCTGAAAAGCATTCATTTAGTCTTCTTTACATTTAATAATCATATAGTTATAGTTAACCCATTTAGTGAGTAAATCTATCTCCATTTCTAAAACTCTTGATATTTCTCCAACACTTGAACCAAACATAGTGAAGTCATCAGCGTACATCACAATGGAAGGTGTAAGATGACAAACTAGTATCTTATAATAATAATAATAATTATTAATATTATTAAGCTACAGGTGTGAGGTGACAAGCTAGTATTTTATTATTATTATTATTGTTAATTTTATTAAGCTACAGGTGTGAGGTGACGAGCTAAAACTAATGCAGACTAAAACTAGAAAACTAACTGAAGGTGGCCAGCCTGGACTTACTAAGTATATAAAAACATTTAGCAAGGAGAGGGTGAGGTAAGAGCACCGCAGTAACATTCCCGGAGCTCAGGAATTTTTTTCATTAGCCTCTGACAACTCCATACGGGGCGACGTTGGCACAGGAGTTAAGTGTTCGCCTCGCAATCTGAAGGTTGCAAGTTCGAGCCCCGCTCAGTCTGTCACTGTCGTTGTGTCCTTGGGCAAGACACTTAGCCCACGTTGCCTGCTGGTGGTGGTCGGAGGGACCGGTGGTGCCAGTGCTCGGCAGCCTTGCCCCTGTCAGTGTGCCCCAGGGCAGCTGTGGCTGCATTGTGGCTCATCCCCACCAGTGTGTGAATGTGTGTGTGAATGGGTGAATGACTGATTGTGTTGTAAAGCGCTTTGTGGGGGTTCCAGGACTCTAAAAGGTGCTATGTCAAATACAGGCCATTTACCTTTTTTTTTTTTTAACCATACATTTTCTATAAACTGCCCACTCCAATCAGCAGGCACCCGAAAATCCTGAATCTTAACCATACATCTTCTGGGTCCTCAACGGAAAGAAGGGAAAGACACATGATTCCAGGAATGCAAAATATATCCCACCGGTGTGACCCACGCAGGAATATAGAGCTCCCTCCTCCGTTTTGAATATTGTAAAAATATCATCAATGTTTTTCTGTGACCAGTTGACCAGATTCATTATTTTAAAAATAGAATTTACCTTAAAAGATTCAAAGCATATAAGTGTGGCTGAAGTCTAGGTCTGGTGTGGCAGCGGGACCTGGTGGCTTATGCTGAAGCTGGAGCCAGGGCCAGGCTAGATGGTCTGAGCCTGGAGTCTAGGCAGGGCCTGGTGGCTAGTGTTGAGGCTGGATCCTGGGTCAGGCCAGGTCGGTCCTGGTCAGGGCCAGATTAACACTTTGTTGTACCCTGGGCAACAATATTCAAGGGCCCCATCATCACGACCCGAGGATCACCATAATATGGTCACATACAGAATATTTTACTGTAATATGCAGTAAATATACTCAATACTTGAATGCCTGATGTCACGTAAGCCGCTCAGGGTAACCTTTGACCCACCTCGTGTGGACTGACCAATGAGGAGAGGGTCTTAACTTGAGGCCCTCTCTTCATTGGTCAGTCTGCATGAGACTGACTCTCAGCCGCTCTCAACTGACGATCAGTCATAGGCAGCGAAGCGTCTCTGTGCGGTGCAAAAGCCCGGGTGGACAGTTAGTTTAATGTAGGGTGACCATATTTCCATTTCCAAAAAAGAGGACAGGGGATCTGTGCCTATGATGTGGCAACGCCACACAAACCACACTGGGACCCATTTTTTGTAAGAACTAAATTGATATCAGATTCTGCCAATGATTCGCTGGAGTTTTTTTTTTGACAATTAAAATTGCGCCCACATTTTCAAAGTTAAACACATTTTTTTAACAATGGTAGTTTCTGCTTCAGCCCTCTCCCCCCTCCCCCTGCGCAGCGGCCGCAAACTCACTGATGCGCCTGCAGCCTCTCAGAGTTCCTGCTGCTCTAAACATTAAAATAATTATTTCATTTTCTGTTCCTCACTTGATTAACTTCAGTGGTGTCTGTTTGTTGCAACCACCAGGTACAAAAACTAACTTGTTTTATTTGACTATTTTTCTGTCCTGTCTCTGTTTATTATCTTCCTGCATCTCCTCTCAATCCTAAAGAGAAACTAGGCTACTACCTGCCTTCATATATATTCACCTTTTTTTTTTTTTTTTTTTTTTTTTTTTTTTTTTTTTTTTTTTTTTTTTTTTTTTATTTATTTATCTCAAACCATCGAAAACATGAAATTGCATATGCACTCCCCCATATTCCTGGTGCATACAAAAAAAATTTTTTTTTTTTTTAAATGAGGAATACGATAAACATATGCTGTTGAATGAAACAATACAAAACATACAATAACATAAAACCATTTGAGAGGGAACTGGAAGAAGCAAAAGCTTATCTAGTCCAGCCCCAATTCAGTTAATAAATCACATTTGCTCACATTAACAAATTTGAAAGAAAAAAAAAATTTCTTTATGCAGGTCGTTCTATCTTCACCTTGCTAGTTGCTACATAAAAAGACAGTTACAAAACAATTGTTCACATGAATCTACAGAAAAAGAAAACAAAACCAATAAACAACAAAAACAAAATATTCCATTTGCAGCCAATTACCATTTTTATCACTTGCTATTTATGTATGAGTCAATTATAAGTTGTTTATACAACATTTTAAATGATCTAATGTTTTTACATAATTTTAAAGTCACATCAAGTTTGTTCCACAGTTTGATACCACATACAGATACACACATACTTTTCATAGTTGTTCGGTATAATGGAAAAATGAAGTTTTTAACGCCTCTCAATTCATAACCCTCTTCATGAGTTTTAAACAACCTTTGCAAATTACACGGCAGTACACCCATCATGGCCCTATACGGTACAAGGACAGTTTTAAATTGAATTAAGTCATGAGTTACCTTTGAACTGCAGTTCTAAAAGATCTACCGACCGCAAAAACAGCGGGGTGCTCGCCGGCCGCATCAGTGAGGTGTGTCACCGGAGGACAAAACAGGTGATACGCCCCGCTCCACAGCAGCGAAACACATCAGGCACAAATAAAAGACAGAAAATTAGTTTTTGAGGTGGCGACACTTAATGTGATAACGTTACTGTGGCCATGCTCAGGACGCAGATGTCTGGAGCGCGTCAACAATCAGAGCTTTGCATGTGCACGCTGGTTAAGGTTAGGATGGGGTGAGGGGAAGGTTAAATTGCAAGAGGGTAAAAGTCACAATTTGGTTAAATGTCCGTTTTACGGCGGGTGTCAGTACCGACACTCTGGCACAGCGCGTTGCCTCCCGACGCGCAGGAGCTCATCACCTGCTGTCTTTTCCGAGGACTGCATCTTGCCAGTTATTATCACGTGACAGCGACTAGTCGATGACAGGCATAAAAGGTCACTACAGAGCAGTGAGGTCGACTAGTTCATACAACCCCTAGTGTGTGTGTTAGTGTGTGTGTGTGTGTGTGTGTGTGTGTGTGTGTGTGTGTGTGTGTGTGTGTGTGTGTGTGTGTGTGTGTGTGTGTGAGATCTTACCAACAGATGGCCATTAGGGTCAAAAATCTCTGGGGGTGCAATTTTTGAACGAGT